CATAAACAAGCTTGTTCTTAATACGCGTTTCCTTATTGAGCTGATTAGGAGGCCTATACATCAGATTTCGGCTTTTCTCTCGTTATTGACAGCAGTTATACTGTTCGTTTGATTATCGTAATGCCACTACTCGCGTTATCAATGAGCAAACTCTATTGTGTATTTTGTGCATTGGTCTGTTAAAAGTTGCTTCTATTTTGGGCTCCCATTCCTCTTAATAATTATGGCTGCTTCTATCGACACTTGAACTATCTCTAATGAAGGGTAGTTTACGGGAGGAATTGAGGGGCATAGGCGTGGCCTCCAGGCATGTGTTTAAGGAAAAGTAGAATTTTTAGCCTAAAGAGCCCTCAAAGGCTAGCGTCTAGTCAAACGACATGTAGAGTCAATACCAAAAACTTGAACCCTATACTTCCCGTGAATAATTATGTCAATGTTCTCTACTGTAAACATTTCTCAGTGCATAGTTGTTACTATACCAAACAATTCACAGTGGCGTTTTGTTTTAGCTAGAGAATGAGCCATAGCGCCATACCTCTTGCAATTAGGTAAACACCGTTAGATTGGTATTAATAAGAGGCTGATATATTCTTTGGCAGTCTTCTGTGAGGAAGTATATGGAGCGCTATAACCCACAATATCAAACTGCCAAGCAAAGACTCTACTCGCCGGTGTCTGTAGCATCGCCGTAAGCATCGTGAGGTCATGACATTTTGTCCTCGTAAATGAACACTGAGATGGGTTGTAAGGGTTGCCGCAAAAGCAAATTCTGCTCCTAATTTCCCAGAACCACCAAAACAAAGCACGTTAATCAAAATTTGTATTTGCTGCATTAGAGATCATAAGTGCAAAGGCAGTGAGGACTGAGGAATGTTTGGCATGCAAGACAGTTAGCAGTCGTCCAAACTGCAGTAAAATTTGAGCAAAATCACATTCTGATAAAAATGTATAGCAAAAGAAGCCTTTTAGAGTTTGCCAAATGTACAGAATTCCATAGCAGAATTGCTTTTTAAGTCCTTATTCCCTTCTATTCTCTCAAATTCTGAGAGTAAATGCAAAAATAGTTTTATTTGTTGCAACATGTCCTCGAAATTTAAGCATTTCTTACCTCTATCGCTTAAAATTATGCAACCTAAACATTTGATATAACTCTATGTGCGGGCAGGGTAGGAAAAGTCTGTAACGAGGCTTGCAGAATGTTCACGGCTAGTGTCGCTTCAGCTGTCAATAGCACTCTAGCAGCACGTGGAACTGGGGCAGATGCCGATGCTAGAAGTCAATTTCAGCCCTTTTATATACATTTGCGACTCAAGATTATCTAAGATCATGTTTTGAATTTATAATCATGGAAATACCGAAGCATTGAACAGTTTCCAACGAATTAATACTGTTAAATGAATAAACACCTCAAATAAAGCAAGGTGCACTAGTTCGAATAATGTGCTGCAAAACCCCTAACAGGCGATTTTTCTGCTCTGGTGCCCATTTATTCCCTCCTTACACTAGTAAACATATGCTTTATATGCTCGCATTGTTGGTTAGAAAATCCTAGAAGACTCAATTTGCTTTTCAGCCTCAATGAAAGCCGCACTGCAGACTAATGAAAATAATTGTACTAATTTCTGTGGCAGTTAACTTGCTTTAAGGACACCAAAAATGGAGTCTGTTATCAACGGTCGAATCTGCAAGACAATGGAGGGGCTAAAATAGCGTTTATAGCAGTGTTCCGTAGAAGGAGGTTTAAAGAATTTGACGACACTAGACTTAGAGAGTTTGATGACAAGCCAATTATTTGTGCAGGCTGAGTACGGTTTAATAATTTAGGCGTGGATTTCTAGTAAGGTGCGCTGCATTTGGGAAAATGCCTTTCAAAATGCCAAGTCATGTGGGAACTGTGACTTGTGCAGGGTGATTTAGAAATCAAAGTTCTGCTACACAAATGGATTTCTTTAAAAAATAAAGCATGCGTATAGAGGACATGAAAACGTAATCAAGTCGCTGGCGTTGATTTGCCATTTGCAGCTCTTAAATATAGGCGTTCGCACTTTCCACGCTTCTTGATTCCTCCAAAATCTGCTTGCTATTCTTACTAACTTCTTTAACAAATGCAAACACTACGCACTTTGCATGAGGAAATATGGCAACGCAAGTAATTTTTGCAACTAGTATTATTTGCTTTGCATCCTACTGCATCGAGCATTCTGTTTAGTCACTCAAATTGTTAGTATTCATGCGGAAAATACATTGCTTATGTATACAAACGCGTTAAGAAGCTACTAACCCTATTCGATATCCTTGTCCTTTAGAGCAGTGTGCTATTTAGCGTCGATTGAGAAGACTAGTTAGACACCTAATTTGTAAAAGAGCTTTTGGATCAGGTTTGCTTAAGAATTTTACCTTAGCACTTCTCTGCCATGAGTCCTCCTGAGATTGCAATAGGAAGACTAGCCAATAAGTCGATTCCTAAATAGTGACAAAACTATGTTCTCATTCTTTAATTTAAGACATTTTATGATTTATGTCTCTCCTCAATGTTTCTTTCATATAGGACACTTAAAAGTGAGGTGATTTGAAAATTGCATGAGCAAAAACGACAAAAGAAAATCACCAAGGGCTAATACAACTGGACATGAGGGAGGCGATGGTAAACGCTTGAGGGCAAGTAGATGATGAAAGAATGAGCTGTAATTGAATTTGATTTAATTCACAGACAGTTGGAAACAGTAACTCAAATAAAATTAGCTTTAAAGAGTAAATAAAATATTTTCAAATTAGGGCATCATATCGCTGGAAAGAGAGAAGAAGAGAGTAGGAGTGTTAGGAGAAATGAACCAAAGATGTAGAGGCGTTTACTTTGGTTAGAAACCCCAAGCATTCATTATCCGCCACCTGATTATATACTAGCCCGACTCGATGTGGCCGAACCTCGAATGGTGTAACGAAAACCGGTAGAATCTAAGTAATGTAGTCGCTGGAGTCACTTTGCCCTTCACGTCTCACCTTTCATCGGGCAAACTTTAAACCAACTACACATTGCACCGCTCACTCGCTAGATATGCACCACTTGCCTAAGGAGGTCCGATCTACAAATCTAGCTATTTTCTACCACTTATTCACCAAACACAGAGGTAGCAGCTAACTGTATCGCAGAGAGCCTGCTGTGACTGCAAAAAAACAAGACAGTCTTTTTGAATTTCTAGAAATTATATAGGGCTACCATATGCCAGGCAGAAAAGTGTTATGACAAACACGGCCGGACTAAATTTTACCATGAAGGAGACCCGTTCAATTTTGCAGGCAGATTCTGCAAGTTCTCTCTGTCGTGGGGCAAAGCAGCATTCTCCGTGATTAAAGCCCCCTCACAAGTTACTTCAATCGCAACAAACGAATATACACTCATCCATCAACCATTCGCCACTACAAAATTCGACTCTACCAATAGATGCTACTGGTTGGATGCGAAAGCGAGGTATGGGGGCTAACAGATGGAATAACTTAGTAAAGACGTGCTTTTATACACCTGCTACAGATTGTGGCCAACCAAAATTATATCCAGCATCTTGTGGCATGTTTTGATGTGTTAACAAGAAGTTTGATAAACGATTGATTGAAGGATTAAACAAGTGAATACCAGGCAAGTTAATAATGTATTTGCACGGAGCCAAAATAATTTTTCTCAATATAATGTAAATTCAGCTTTATGCTTGACTCATATCTCACGGAATTTTGCTAAATTAAATTGATGTATGAATGCATATAGGCTAATAACACAACTTCTTGATAATAAAACAGATGGCCTGTCATCGTGAAAATGGCTGAATGACTTGATGTTTGTAAGGCGGCCATAACCTGAAACTGTATGCTGTTATTCATTTGGCTAAGATTATATTGCTAATATTCCGTATGATTTTTAGATATTTTTTGCATCTTAGAAATGTCGAGAATACAGGATTAGTCGGATTCAAATGAGGTATGCAAATAGTGCTGATGCAGGGAACATCACCTTAATACTATATTGGATACACAGATACTTAGATGAAACTTGAGGCTTCATAAAAATTGCAACATGTAGCTGCAATGAGGAATATCGGAAACACTGGGGGTATTTTCAGCCACTTAACTTCGCTTAGACGCTGTTATTCAAATCATTAGCATTAGAACAAGAGTAACACATACAACTGTGCCGAGACGCTACTAACCCTTTTCGATATCCATGGCCACTGGTGGAGGTGATATTAAGCGTCGACTGAGACGAAAAATTAGTCAACTAATTAGTGACATTGCTTTTGAATCAGACTCGTTGAAGACTCCAGCTTGGTACAGCTCTTGCAATTTGCTGAACACTGTTAAATTGATATTAACAAAAAGAATAGATATTCCTGAGTATTTGTATATTACGAGGTAAATGGAATGCTATTACCCGTTACACTAAACCACCAAGCAAAGACTTCACTCTCTAGTGTCTGTAGTATCGCCTTAAGCATTATGAGTTCGCCTCATTCTGTGCTCGTAAAGGAACAACGAAATGAGTTGCAAGGCTTGCCACAAAAGCATAAACAAGCTTGTTCTTAATACGCGTTTCCTTATTGAGCTGATTAGGAGGCCTATACATCAGATTTCGGCTTTTCTCTCGTTATTGACAGCAGTTATACTGTTCGTTTGATTATCGTAATGCCACTACTCGCGTTATCAATGAGCAAACTCTATTGTGTATTTTGTGCATTGGTCTGTTAAAAGTTGCTTCTATTTTGGGCTCCCATTCCTCTTAATAATTATGGCTGCTTCTATCGACACTTGAACTATCTCTAATGAAGGGTAGTTTACGGGAGGAATTGAGGGGCATAGGCGTGGCCTCCAGGCATGTGTTTAAGGAAAAGTAGAATTTTTAGCCTAAAGAGCCCTCAAAGGCTAGCGTCTAGTCAAACGACATGTAGAGTCAATACCAAAAACTTGAACCCTATACTTCCCGTGAATAATTATGTCAATGTTCTCTACTGTAAACATTTCTCAGTGCATAGTTGTTACTATACCAAACAATTCACAGTGGCGTTTTGTTTTAGCTAGAGAATGAGCCATAGCGCCATACCTCTTGCAATTAGGTAAACACCGTTAGATTGGTATTAATAAGAGGCTGATATATTCTTTGGCAGTCTTCTGTGAGGAAGTATATGGAGCGCTATAACCCACAATATCAAACTGCCAAGCAAAGACTCTACTCGCCGGTGTCTGTAGCATCGCCGTAAGCATCGTGAGGTCATGACATTTTGTCCTCGTAAATGAACACTGAGATGGGTTGTAAGGGTTGCCGCAAAAGCAAATTCTGCTCCTAATTTCCCAGAACCACCAAAACAAAGCACGTTAATCAAAATTTGTATTTGCTGCATTAGAGATCATAAGTGCAAAGGCAGTGAGGACTGAGGAATGTTTGGCATGCAAGACAGTTAGCAGTCGTCCAAACTGCAGTAAAATTTGAGCAAAATCACATTCTGATAAAAATGTATAGCAAAAGAAGCCTTTTAGAGTTTGCCAAATGTACAGAATTCCATAGCAGAATTGCTTTTTAAGTCCTTATTCCCTTCTATTCTCTCAAATTCTGAGAGTAAATGCAAAAATAGTTTTATTTGTTGCAACATGTCCTCGAAATTTAAGCATTTCTTACCTCTATCGCTTAAAATTATGCAACCTAAACATTTGATATAACTCTATGTGCGGGCAGGGTAGGAAAAGTCTGTAACGAGGCTTGCAGAATGTTCACGGCTAGTGTCGCTTCAGCTGTCAATAGCACTCTAGCAGCACGTGGAACTGGGGCAGATGCCGATGCTAGAAGTCAATTTCAGCCCTTTTATATACATTTGCGACTCAAGATTATCTAAGATCATGTTTTGAATTTATAATCATGGAAATACCGAAGCATTGAACAGTTTCCAACGAATTAATACTGTTAAATGAATAAACACCTCAAATAAAGCAAGGTGCACTAGTTCGAATAATGTGCTGCAAAACCCCTAACAGGCGATTTTTCTGCTCTGGTGCCCATTTATTCCCTCCTTACACTAGTAAACATATGCTTTATATGCTCGCATTGTTGGTTAGAAAATCCTAGAAGACTCAATTTGCTTTTCAGCCTCAATGAAAGCCGCACTGCAGACTAATGAAAATAATTGTACTAATTTCTGTGGCAGTTAACTTGCTTTAAGGACACCAAAAATGGAGTCTGTTATCAACGGTCGAATCTGCAAGACAATGGAGGGGCTAAAATAGCGTTTATAGCAGTGTTCCGTAGAAGGAGGTTTAAAGAATTTGACGACACTAGACTTAGAGAGTTTGATGACAAGCCAATTATTTGTGCAGGCTGAGTACGGTTTAATAATTTAGGCGTGGATTTCTAGTAAGGTGCGCTGCATTTGGGAAAATGCCTTTCAAAATGCCAAGTCATGTGGGAACTGTGACTTGTGCAGGGTGATTTAGAAATCAAAGTTCTGCTACACAAATGGATTTCTTTAAAAAATAAAGCATGCGTATAGAGGACATGAAAACGTAATCAAGTCGCTGGCGTTGATTTGCCATTTGCAGCTCTTAAATATAGGCGTTCGCACTTTCCACGCTTCTTGATTCCTCCAAAATCTGCTTGCTATTCTTACTAACTTCTTTAACAAATGCAAACACTACGCACTTTGCATGAGGAAATATGGCAACGCAAGTAATTTTTGCAACTAGTATTATTTGCTTTGCATCCTACTGCATCGAGCATTCTGTTTAGTCACTCAAATTGTTAGTATTCATGCGGAAAATACATTGCTTATGTATACAAACGCGTTAAGAAGCTACTAACCCTATTCGATATCCTTGTCCTTTAGAGCAGTGTGCTATTTAGCGTCGATTGAGAAGACTAGTTAGACACCTAATTTGTAAAAGAGCTTTTGGATCAGGTTTGCTTAAGAATTTTACCTTAGCACTTCTCTGCCATGAGTCCTCCTGAGATTGCAATAGGAAGACTAGCCAATAAGTCGATTCCTAAATAGTGACAAAACTATGTTCTCATTCTTTAATTTAAGACATTTTATGATTTATGTCTCTCCTCAATGTTTCTTTCATATAGGACACTTAAAAGTGAGGTGATTTGAAAATTGCATGAGCAAAAACGACAAAAGAAAATCACCAAGGGCTAATACAACTGGACATGAGGGAGGCGATGGTAAACGCTTGAGGGCAAGTAGATGATGAAAGAATGAGCTGTAATTGAATTTGATTTAATTCACAGACAGTTGGAAACAGTAACTCAAATAAAATTAGCTTTAAAGAGTAAATAAAATATTTTCAAATTAGGGCATCATATCGCTGGAAAGAGAGAAGAAGAGAGTAGGAGTGTTAGGAGAAATGAACCAAAGATGTAGAGGCGTTTACTTTGGTTAGAAACCCCAAGCATTCATTATCCGCCACCTGATTATATACTAGCCCGACTCGATGTGGCCGAACCTCGAATGGTGTAACGAAAACCGGTAGAATCTAAGTAATGTAGTCGCTGGAGTCACTTTGCCCTTCACGTCTCACCTTTCATCGGGCAAACTTTAAACCAACTACACATTGCACCGCTCACTCGCTAGATATGCACCACTTGCCTAAGGAGGTCCGATCTACAAATCTAGCTATTTTCTACCACTTATTCACCAAACACAGAGGTAGCAGCTAACTGTATCGCAGAGAGCCTGCTGTGACTGCAAAAAAACAAGACAGTCTTTTTGAATTTCTAGAAATTATATAGGGCTACCATATGCCAGGCAGAAAAGTGTTATGACAAACACGGCCGGACTAAATTTTACCATGAAGGAGACCCGTTCAATTTTGCAGGCAGATTCTGCAAGTTCTCTCTGTCGTGGGGCAAAGCAGCATTCTCCGTGATTAAAGCCCCCTCACAAGTTACTTCAATCGCAACAAACGAATATACACTCATCCATCAACCATTCGCCACTACAAAATTCGACTCTACCAATAGATGCTACTGGTTGGATGCGAAAGCGAGGTATGGGGGCTAACAGATGGAATAACTTAGTAAAGACGTGCTTTTATACACCTGCTACAGATTGTGGCCAACCAAAATTATATCCAGCATCTTGTGGCATGTTTTGATGTGTTAACAAGAAGTTTGATAAACGATTGATTGAAGGATTAAACAAGTGAATACCAGGCAAGTTAATAATGTATTTGCACGGAGCCAAAATAATTTTTCTCAATATAATGTAAATTCAGCTTTATGCTTGACTCATATCTCACGGAATTTTGCTAAATTAAATTGATGTATGAATGCATATAGGCTAATAACACAACTTCTTGATAATAAAACAGATGGCCTGTCATCGTGAAAATGGCTGAATGACTTGATGTTTGTAAGGCGGCCATAACCTGAAACTGTATGCTGTTATTCATTTGGCTAAGATTATATTGCTAATATTCCGTATGATTTTTAGATATTTTTTGCATCTTAGAAATGTCGAGAATACAGGATTAGTCGGATTCAAATGAGGTATGCAAATAGTGCTGATGCAGGGAACATCACCTTAATACTATATTGGATACACAGATACTTAGATGAAACTTGAGGCTTCATAAAAATTGCAACATGTAGCTGCAATGAGGAATATCGGAAACACTGGGGGTATTTTCAGCCACTTAACTTCGCTTAGACGCTGTTATTCAAATCATTAGCATTAGAACAAGAGTAACACATACAACTGTGCCGAGACGCTACTAACCCTTTTCGATATCCATGGCCACTGGTGGAGGTGATATTAAGCGTCGACTGAGACGAAAAATTAGTCAACTAATTAGTGACATTGCTTTTGAATCAGACTCGTTGAAGACTCCAGCTTGGTACAGCTCTTGCAATTTGCTGAACACTGTTAAATTGATATTAACAAAAAGAATAGATATTCCTGAGTATTTGTATATTACGAGGTAAATGGAATGCTATTACCCGTTACACTAAACCACCAAGCAAAGACTTCACTCTCTAGTGTCTGTAGTATCGCCTTAAGCATTATGAGTTCGCCTCATTCTGTGCTCGTAAAGGAACAACGAAATGAGTTGCAAGGCTTGCCACAAAAGCAAATTCTCCTCCCAAATTTACAGAGCCACCGAAACAAAGCAGAAATGCACAATAAATCCGCGTTAATCAAATCTTGTGTGCGTTCCATTCGAGACCACATGTGCAAAGGCACTGAGGACTGCGGCATAA